ACGACAAGAAAACAATCGAACGATTAGTACAAAACAAAAAAGCATAAGAAAATTACCAAATTTATTTAAAAAGAAAAAACAACGCTTAACACATACGGGTATGTATATACGTACAATAATAAACTTAAGATAATCGAAAGCATTAAATCAATTATGGGAAAATTTATTTTAAAGAGTAAACTGCAAAAACAAACAAAAAAATCATGAGAATAAAATTATGCGCGCGAAAAATTACAGCTCAGCTGAGCCTTAGCCTAAGTCCGCTGCCGTTTTGTATTGAAGGAGGAACGCTGAAGCGAGACCAGAAGCGATAAAATTTTTATAATAAATGACGTTTTAAAAATTTGTGGTAACAGTGCAACGTATGTACATATGTATGTGCGCGATAAATAATTTATAGCCACAGCTGTATGGCACCGAAGAGTTGCCAGTGCAAGGTTGCCACAGCCCACATTGCGGCAGCGCCAAAGCCACCGATCAACAGTACGATCGATCGCACCACACAACCTAAATTCGCCTGAAGCTTCTGTGCGGTGCCGCAATTGCCGCAACTGCTGCTGCCACTGAACGACATTCTACTTGCAACAACAACAAAAGCAACAGCAAAACAATGCACCAAGTGTTGCAGTGTCCGAGTTATTTTGCATACAAAGGCCAGATATGTATGTATGTAGCTATAGTGGTCCAGCAAAAGCGCCTTGCTTGTTGTTGCTGTTTGGCCTCGCTGCGGCGTGTGTGCATTGTCATAAATTGTTTAATTTGTATCATAAACAATCGCGTTAAACTTTATCCCTAAGCCATCCCCACAGAGATCGATCAAGCCACCGCCACAGCAACATTGCATTCATGCATCATCTGTGTGGCAGCAACAACAGCAGCAGCCAGGCAACGGTGATCACATCGATTGCGTTTATTCGATCGGCAAGAAAGTGCGAGCAGCGATAGCGCGTTAATGCGTCCACAACAAAGCTGCCACCGCGCGCGCTGTCAAGAACTGCCGCCAATTGCAGCTTCTGCTGACCGACCGACCGACCGACCGACCGACCAGCCATGTGGCAGGCAGGCGGCATACAGGCATACAAAATGATTCATGCCGCTTTTGCTCCCATTTCCACTTTGATTTTTTACGCTCGCTTAGTAGCGTTGCAAGCTAATGCTTTTTGAAATGTATAATTTAGCAGACACCAAGTGAGATTTATGTGGCATGCTGTTGGCGCTTTTTGTTGCATTATATATTTGGATTATGCAAGTGATTGTTTTCTTTTTGCATGGATGTGTTCTTTTACGGTAGATTCGAGGGTGCCAACTAATAATGCAAAACATGTAATGTACGAGTAAATTTGCCAGTAACTTGCAACAATATGACTTTCCGCATCAAACTTATTACTTACTGGCTGCTGTTCGCCAGCTGTGTGCCGAGGCGTATGCATATTATTGTTGCATGTGCTGTTGACTGTCAGTCGGCAATTGCTTATTTCCAGGCAAAATGCGATGTTATTATCATTATTATCATTGATTCAAGGCCTTAGGCTACAAGTACGCGTATGTATGTACATACATTGCGTTGCAAAATAATAACTTTAATTGTCGATGTGAATGTGTGTGTGCTTATTTTTATTACAAAGTAGCGCATTTAAAAGCAAAACTACGCCAGCATGAAAAATTGAGCATACTAAAGACTAACATATCTATATATTACATAAAAATATGCACGAAAAAATACAGATCATAATTTTAGATATGCGCATTTTTTAATGTCCTAAATGCATACGCTTCAAAAAGATATTTAGTTGAACAATTTTTGAGATGCAATAAATGTGACTTAATGAAATATATATATGTACATATGTATGTACAAAATTTGTGAATAGGTAAGGAAAGACAACTGAAGTAGAATATTACATTGAACCTAAACGAAAAAATAAAATAAAAATTTTACAAAAAGTAGTAGAAATAGTAGTACAAAAGGTAGCAAAAATACAAATTTGAGAGCAAAACTCGACACAACCCAAAAAAATACAGTGTCAAAGCAAAGAAAACCTTTTCAAAATAAAAGTTGGAACAGAAGTAGTAGGAAGAGAAACAAAAAAGTAGTAGAAATAAATGTGTGAAAGAAAACCTGATCCAAATATAATAAGGGGTAGAGTCAATATCCAAGAAAATTTTTTACAGAAAACATGGTATTCAATCGAATAAAAAGTAGGCTTAATAACTAAGACAAGTTGTACATTAAGCTGTGGAAAACGTAGTAAAAAAATAACTAAAAAGAATTACATATTTTCATTAGTTATCGAAATCGACTAAGGAACTGTTATAATTCTGAAAAAATAGAAATTCAATCAAAAGTAGTAGACAGAAGAGAGGAAATTACGTACAACCTGATAAAAAGTAGTGCTAACAGCAAAGCTTAATACTAAACACATGAAGTTGGAAAGGAAGTAGTACAGAGAGTAGTATAAATAGACATATGAAAGGAAAACAAAGATAGAAGAATTGTTATCGAAAACACCAAGAAACCGCAGTTTTGATTAAATGAATAACATAAGAAAAAAAAAATGAAAGGTATGAAGTAAAGGTAATAGAATTAGTAGTATTTTTGCGCAAAGAATGGAGCACATTATTAGAAAAAATAAAAACTAAAAAATAACAATTTGGAATGCGGTTAAAAACGTGGCTAAGTTTCGTGAAAATGCGGTAAAAGAAAAACTGAAAAAATTATTTGTCAAACATGTTTGGAAAAAATTTGTAACAAACAGAATTTCGGACTACAAAAGGGCAGTAAAGAAAATTGAATAATTACAAACTGGTTTAGTAAAGAGTAAAGTGAAACCACCCTCAACTGGCCAGTCTCGGTTAAAAAAGTTAATGTAGAGTTTTTCATTTGCACGAGAGGAAAAAAACTCAACTCAAATTTGAACTCCTGTGGGATTATGGGAAGTGTTCGCTAATTGAGGGGTTCCATATGTATAGGTTTTACTGCACTAAAATATTTACTAAACATAGAGTACCTAAGAGAAGACACCTGTAAGTTAGCAAATATGAACATAAGCTATTTCTGCCATGAGGATTCCCCTAGATAATCACATTCTTTATTGTTACCAACATCGACGCATCCAGAATAAAACTTAAGGGGGGCGGAGGGGGGCCTACACTATTAAGCTAGCATTTCAGGGTACAATTTTTATATGCATTAGGAAAACTCGAAACTGGCTACGCCTATGGTTACCAACCAACTCCCGATTTATTCATTGTGCACACTGTATCGCACAACGCTGGCACTGTAGCGCACACTTATGTACATCATTCACCTTATTTCGGGCACAAGATCGTGATGGATTATGCGCTTGTGATTGATTATGTGGTTGTGGTTGGATAGAGAATAAAAAAAAATTTATAATAATATTTAATGTAGGCAATACAACAGCACAACAACAACAAAAATCACCAACTGAAAATGCAACCGCATACAAAAAATTCCACACAAGCATTAGCTCTTGTGCTTATGTATGTCTGGTACAACATCGACGCACTTCAACACAGATCGCGAAAAAGATGAGCCACTGTCAAGACGGCAGCCACTGCAGCAAGAAGAAGCTGCAAGCAGCCATAAAAGCGAACTGCACACAGTAGGCATACAGCAGCAACATTTTTCATCTAACTGCCATTGTTGCCGCGCAAGTGAGCTTAGCTTACGCGTATATGTAGCTGCTGCTGTCTGCTGTCGCCGTTGTCGATCGATAGGTCCACATTGGCCGGCCACTGCATATTGTCGATCGCTGCGCATGATAATTCCCATTTGATTATCCTAATAACAGTTCTTTAGCCAATATTATATGTACGTGTGCCTGATTATAGATATTATGTTGTGCCAGCGATTGTTGCTGCGCTGTCGTACTGCCGCGATGCCGTTGCAACGATCGCCTGCCTGGCTTACCTATATATATGTATACATAAGTGGCTTCAGGTGGTTTCCGTATGCTCTTTATCCCGCTTTTTTTTTTGTTATGCAGGCACACATTGCTTGTATTGTTTTTGTGTGTTTTCTTTGGTGCGCGCAATTTTCGGGAAGCGCAGGTGATCGTCAGTG